CGAGGATGTGGTGAAGCATAGATCGTGGATGCACTCCGGTGCGCACCAGGCCGTAGGTAACTTCAGATTCACATTGAAGTTCGATTGATAATAGGATTTGCCTAACTGTAAGGCACGACTCATACCGAAGTCACTAATTTTGACCTAGAGCGGGGAACAAATGACACGTAACGAACAGATAAGTAAATCGGGGGAACACATGGAACATACTGAAAACAGAGGAATGTGGCAGATCCTTTTCCTACTTGTTCGTTGTTCTCAGGGCACACGAACGTGTGATAGATTAACAATGATGAAAGAAGCTACGGTCTGTTAGAAACTGTACAGATTAAACAGTGGATGAGAACAAATACGCATAGGTGATTGCCAGGTTCGCCTGATCGAAAGCTGTTTGTACTCTCATATGAGTATACGATACAGTCTAAACAACGCCGGTCTCTAAAGCAGCTAAATATTTAAACGCGATGTTCTTGCGCAAAACAAGAATATTGTACATGACTTTACAATTAATTCGGTGACTACGTACCTGGAGTTACAGACAACATTTATGATCATGAAACCGAGGTACATAAATAACATCCTCGACGTGACGCTCATTGCCCTGATTGCACGAAGAGGTAATTAGGACAGCTGAACCCCAGTTTCCAATGGAAAGCCTTGATCAACTTTCTTATTTCTTTAGAGCCAGCGAGAAGTTTGAGGAGCGCAGAGTAGTGAGTGAACACGCCTGCATGTGTGTTGTTATAGGTGGAGATGCTGAGCTCTGGGATCCTCTCGGTTAGGATGAAAGAGGTGGGCTGCGCCCAAAACACAAACCAGTCGACACAAAACTGAACCGAAAAAAACACTTTATACGGGTGTAAAGCATGTCCCGTTTTATTCCGATCAGGGACGTGAATCCCTCACCGGATTGTTTATTCAGGCATTTGACAGAACAATTACGATCAGACACGTTGGAAACTGGCGACCAGGGAGAAAAAACGTGTCTGACATGCGGACACACCCAACATGAACAAACCATCATTCGACTGCGGTCTTGTTGGGTTATTCATTCGCATATGCAGCTGAGTGAAATGTGAGAGAGGGACGGGAGAAGAAGGCAGCAACAGTTCTACCCATTCGCCGCACAGGTTTGGTCAATAATCTCAGTTTTAGAATTGAGATCCAGACACCTCTTTAGAAAAGTACAATGTGATCCAGATGTTTGAATACATCCCCCCCCCCGTGCTCTGTATTGTGACCGGAATTGATTGAAAGGGCAGAAAAACCGTTCCCGACGTGAAACTGGAGCCGTGGTTCTAAGTTGTGCACGCAGTCCGCGAAACAGACATACATGTGACTAAAGAGCGCGTTGCAACTCAAAATTGGGAATGGACAGACTTCCGGAAGAACGGGTTTCCGATCACCACAAATGCGATGGAGAAAATATTCACAGATGACTTTTGCTGATACAAATATATTAACATGGTGAACATATGGAAGGATAAACCCGCAGACTGGACCCCGGTGTTCCGTTATGAACCCCATAATGGAGAATCACATCGGAGCACCAGCACAAAACTGGGCCGTCATATGAGAGGAAAATATTGGCCACAAACACTATATATAAAATACCCCTGATACCACATTAACACAATTTGCCATTTGTATAGACCAGTCTTCGTGGATTACGGGTTGGCATATATATAAATGGTAGAAATTGGTTTCATGCTCCCAAAACGAGCTTCGCTTAGCATTTTTGACCACTCTATTTTTTCTTTACCTCAAGATATACTCTAAAACGCGCTATTACCTTCATTTCTGCCACCCCTCCCGTATTCTACGGAAGAGAAACTGGTCCCCTTAGAACTTGGTTTCTTCCAGACTTTTTCTTTCAATAAATAACTCTACTCGTGTTGTGAATCGCTTAGTGATTATCTGAATTTCTGATATGACAAATGTTGCCCCGTTGAACCAATAGTTGTTCCGCCTCCCCCTCCACGCCTGAATAGACTCCGTCGTACAATAGAGACGGCTTAAATAACCGTGTAAATAAGCTATTTCTTCTGATCAGAACTGAGGTAAGACGTCTATACAGAATGTAAGTTGATACGGTTTTGGGTACCGAAAGCTGTCGTAACCTGTGGTCTGTCTTGCCAAAAATCCGGAGCTCCCCTAACGCTGAGGACTTATATCAGCAATTTGTTCCCTCCCACCCAAGTTTCTG